GTCTGTTTTTCTATTAGCAATTTAAGTTATGACTGGTTTTTTTGAGGGAAAGGGTATGGCCCAAAGAACAATCCATTAGATTCTGGCAGTGATCTGGATCCCCAACCAGATGTAGGAATGTTTTAAAAGGTTCATCACCATTGCAAGAGAGGGACAATTACAATGTGGGAAGTGAGCTGCCTTGGTTGAGTTATAATTACTATAATGAGTTTAAGTTAATAGTATGAATCAATGAGTATAGGTGTAACTATCTAATCCTTTGATGATGCAAATTATGTTGACCATTGCAAATATTTGATTGTGTTTATGATTTCATGATGAGTTATTGCAATGTTTGTGTTTTTATAGGTATGTCAGTCAAATGTTTTATGACATGGAAACCAATCAAAGCCACAGTACAGTAATTCAGCCCATAATATTCAGTCAGATCGAGAGCATCAACCATTTTGTCAAAATTTATCACAGAGGCCTGCAAGAAAACGCAATAACTGCTTTTTGTATGAGTAGCAAGCTGTCTGAGATACCTACACTCCAACATTCCGAGAACCATCATTCCGTCTTTTCTTGTTCACACTTCCTAGGGATAAAAAGGTTTCTTATAATGGTATAATATTATTTGCAATCTATGCTGGATCACTAGCATAACATCATGCCCTAAATAGCACTGCTATTTGAAAACAGAGGCACACAACATATTACAGTATGCAAACAGTGTCACTATCTGGTCAATGGTTGTTACTGCACTACAGTAAACTGATACACACACACATCCCGTCACCCATAGTAATAGTCTTATGTGACTTTTCCACAGCGTCAGTGGTAGTGGAAAACTTTATCTTTTAAATGTAAAATTTGTTTATCAAACATCATTTCTCTACAAAACTTTTCAAGTTCAACAAATGAAATAATAATTAATTCACAAAATTTTGTTTCATAACAAGCAGTCAGTGACTGAAGGTCCAGCACTGTGTTGTAAAGTAATAAGTGATGTAACACTAGTGATTGCACATAGGCACTGACTTGATGTCTGCCCGCACAAGTTCCAAATGTTTCAGAAATGCCCCTAAAAGCCAAAGAATTTGGCCTGTGACAAATATTATGCACACTGTCTTTTAAAGTTAGATGACAAAAAACTGCACTTAAGGAAGAACTTCAGGCACAAAATTTGAATACTCATTTCCATCTGCTGTTGACAGTAGTGGCTTGCACATCCAGTCTGCGACTGAATTGGTCTTTTCCTAGACCGAAGCGCTACAGCCACAGCAGGATTTTTTTAAAGAATGAGCTTGCTGACATATTGTAACTGAAAAAAGATTCCTTTAACAATTTCTCAGACAAAAAAACTCAAAATTTCTGAGGTAGGGTGGAACTGCAAAAATCAAACTATGCAATGAATGCATAAGAAACACACACACACACACACACACACACACTCGAATATATGAAAAAACTACAAAATATATTTTCTCTTATCTTTAACAAGTTAAAGAGAATCCCTTTTTATCTTCTGAGGTAGGGTAAGCTGCAAAACAATGCATATCTTCTTAAAAGAGCAACTGAAATTATATATATATATATACACAACCTCAATTCCGAAATAGTTGGGACAAAGTGTAAATTGTGAATAAAATTAAATGCAATGACTTTCAAATCACACCAGCCAGTATTTTATTCACAATAGAACAGAGATAACATAGCAAATGTTGAAACAGAGAAATTTTACAATTATATCCACAAAATGAGCTCATTTCAAATTTGATGGCTGCTACAGGTCTCAAAAAGTTGGGGACAGGGGCCTGTTTACCATGGTGTAGCATCTCCTCCTCTTTTTTAACACAGAGTGGAGGCGTCTGGGCATTGAGGAGACAAGTTTCTTGAGTTTAGCCATTGGAATTTGATCCCACTCTTGTTTAATACTGGCTTCCAGCTGCAGGAGATTTTTGGGTCTCCTTTGGCGGACTTTTTCGTTTAATTATCATGCCAAATGTTCTCAATCGGTGAAAGATCAGGACTGCAGGCAGGCCAGTTCAGCACAAGGACTCTTCTACTACGAAGCCACGCTGCAGTATGTGGTTTTGCATTGTCCTGCTGAAATACACAAGGCCTTCCCTGGAATAGATGTCGTTTGGAGGGGAGCATATGTTGCTTTAAAACCTTTATATACCTTTCATTCATGGTGTGACGACCCCTCCTCCCTGCGCCAGTGTTTGTTCCTTTTGCTGCTGCTCTTTTCTGTGTCTGCAGGAGGGTGGTTAGTGGGATGGGCCACACCTGGGCCCGGTGTGCTCTGCCTTTCGAAAAGCTGCCTCACTTTGCAGTAAAGGCTCCCCTTCTCCTGCCGCCACCCGAACTGACAACACCTCAGCAGCATGAGACCCTGTTGAAGATTTGTTTCTTTTTTCACACATACATTCACATGCACCCATACATGCTCCACACCACTGATTATTAGTCTTCTCTTTATTTGCTTGTGTTTTTTGTTAAATAAAGTTTTTGTAGCCCGCCACCTCGTGTCTGTCTCCCTTTATGTTGCAGCTAGCGAGCCGGCTGTAACAATGGTGCTTTTTAAAACATTCAAGTGTCCCACACCATATGCACTAATGCATCCCCATACCATCAGAGATGCTGGCTTTTGAACTGAACACTGATAACAGGAGGGGTGGTCTTTCTCCTCTTTAGCCCGGAGGACACGACGCCCATGATTTCCACCAAGAATGTCAAATTTGGACTCGTCTGACCACAGGACACTTTGCCACTTTGCTACAGTCCATTTTAAATGAGCCTTGGCCCACAGAACACGGCGGCGCTTCTGGATCATGCTCAACAATGGCTACACTTTTGCATGATAGAGTTTTAGGTGGCATCTGTGGATGGCACAGCGGACTGTGTTTACAGACAGTGGTTTCTTAAAGTATTCCTGGGCCCATTTAGTAATGTCAATGACAGAATCATGCTGGCGAGTGATGCAGTGGCGTCTGAGGGCCCGAAGATCACGGGCATCCAGTAAAGGTCTTCGGCCTTGTCCCTTACGCACAGAGATTTTTCAGTTTCTCTGAATCTTTTGATGATGTTATGCACTGTCGATGATGAGACCTTCAAAGCCTTTGCAATCTGACGTTGAGGAACATTGTTTTTAAAGTATTCCACAAATTTTTTAACGCAAGCCTTCACAGGTTGGAGAGCCTCTGGCCATCTTTAATTCTGAGAGACTCAGCCTCGGTAAGACATCCCTTATATAGCCAATCATGTTACACACCTGATGCCAGTTATCTTAATTACTTGTTAAATGTTCTTTCAGCTGATTCTCTTATATAGTAATTGCTTTTCAGCCCTTTTTTTGCCTGTGTCCCAACTTTTTTGAGACCTGTTGCAGCCGGAAAATTTGAAATAAGCTCATTTTCTGGATAAAAATGTAAAATGTCTCAGTTTCAACATTTTAAATGTTATTTATGTTCTATTGTAAATAACATATTGGCTCGTGATCTGAAAGTCATTGCATTTTGATTTTATTCACAATTTACACTTTGTCTCAACTATTTCGGAATTGGGGTTGTATGTGTGTGTATATATATATATATATATATATAAAATAAATAAATTGGATTTTTAAAACAAATACTACATCAAAATAACTAAATGAGTAATACAAGTAAATAGAATCTGCCCTTGACATTATTTATGTTGATAATATACTGTATAACCTTGACACACCTTGCCACTTTTTTTTTTTTTTTGAGAATTTCAAAAATAAGTTCCATAAGAGACAGTGTTTTTTGGATTTCATCAACTATATCCAACAATTTTAGCCGAATGCAGTATTTTTTTAAAATCTGCAATACTGAGATCCAAATCTTTAACAGCATTTTTTTTATCAACAACTAAATCCAAAACTTGAAGGCCTAATAGTTTTTTTTTCACTTTGGCATACTGAGATGCATTTTATAGCACACACATACAATTTTGATTTGTAATAAAAAAAAGTTGTGCGGCAAAGTATTAGCACATTGCTTATGATAAAGTAAGAAACTGGAGGTAGGCCACAGAAGAGGAACAACAGATCATAGGGCTATGGCCAGACAGACCTGCTGTTCGACAAATGACAGAATGTATTCCTTTGCAACAAATTCATTTCTGTGATAACTAGAGGATTTTGCCTTTCGAATCAGGCCTTATACATGTGTTTTAACCATGCAGTTTGTCTGTTTCAAGTTTTTCACTTGGAAACAACAAAAAGACAAAGTCAGGTGAAGAAATTCCCAGCAACTTACCATCACGGTCATGGCATTGTTTGCTGAGCCCAAGGCCCTGGTCAAGATGCTCGCGCTCTCCACAGCCTGAGGGCTGACTCAACCAGCTATCAGTGGCACTGTCTGGCAGGTGGACGGGAGTAACTACGGCAACAGGTACTGTGGAATGTGGCCGCTGCCGTTTTGGGGTGTTATGTGATGAGCCTGGGACAGGGGTAGAGTTTTCCGGATCCTTACGCCACAGGTCCGGCTTCAACCTGCCTTCTGCGAAGCACACAAATTGTCATCATTTAGCAAATTCTTTTATCCAGAGTAACGAACAGTTAATTACAGTAAGCCAGGCTAAGCAAGGTCCTCGAGGACCCAAAAGCTGCATTGATCATGCCACAGAGGGTCTTACAGCATCCAGCCCAAACCAGACACTAACCATAAGGCTATAGTTGCCTCCATATGGACACAAGCAAGGGGAGGCCCGTTGAAGCCCAATGCTATACTTCTTGTCCTCAGAGAAAATTAAAGGCAAAATAGATAATTCATTTGAAGAGGCATGCATTGATTATTTATGTGTAACAGCACTTTAAAAACTTTCTTATGGTCATATTGTACTCTTATAAAAGTGATGTAGTCATCACACACATGCTCTCACACCTACAGGCATTTTAGAGCTACCAATTAACCTGACATGCATATCTTTGGACTGTGGGAAGAAACTTTGAGTACCCAGAGGAAACCCACACAAACTCCACATAGTAAGGTCACAGGTCAGAATTAAACCAACAATCTTCTTGCTTGCGAGGCAGCAGTGCTGCCCACTGTGCTACCATACCTCCCTTATAAGTTATTATCAGAGTCACTCACTGAAATAGCTACGGTGTTGGATATACATGTAGATATACCTCTGAGTCGGTGCCTTTCCCATTCTCTGCCTCTGGTCATGCCGCTGTACCTGCTTCGATAACTGGAGCGACGACGGCTCCAAATGCGATGGCAGCTCTTAATGTGTCCGCAGCTTCTGATTCGACAGCAGCTCTCAATCTGACCACAGCTTCTAATGCACCTGCAGCTCCTGTTGCGATTGTGACTCCTATTGCCACTGCTCCTTCTGTGTGCAGGATAGTCTCTGCACTCTCTTATATAGACCCCAGTCCAGCGATTATAGTCATGTGCCCTTTCATTGTTTTGTGTCCTGATTGGCCAAACAATCAATACTGTTATCAATCCGTCAGAATCACTATATCAAATTACTGTATTTGTTGACATCATCCAATAACCTCTAGGAACTTATTACATAGTCAAGGAATACAGACAATAAATAAATAATCAATTGATGGCACAAAAGCAACACAGCTATCTAAACATCAGCGTCGATAAATCTTTTTCAGTAGCTTCCTTTAATCCTTGGGAACTTAAGCCAATGACATTTAAATTTGAATAACAACTAACAAATAAAACAGTAAGTTATATACCTCCTTCGCTTCATGTTTTCCACCAGAATGTCCAGTCACCTACGTTATGACCACTTTTGCGAAGGTATCCAAATAGGTTTTTTTTTTTTGATCCAATTATTATTATTAATTCATCTGTTTTTAATCTGTCTCTGACATTAGATCAATAAACAGACTGATTGACAGCCAAAATGGCTTTGACCAAGTTTGTGCTTGGCAACGCAGTGAAGCATGGCTGGAACTATTTTTTTAGAGAATACAGTGTATCTGTCTTCACAAGTCAGACAGCGAAGGGGGTTCTGCTCTGCATCTGGAAAAGAGTGAAATTTCCATAAGAAATGAACTTACGGTATGTCAAACATAGAACTACATGCAAACACTTTTCAAATCAGCAGGTTGACCGTTACCGACCAGCTATGTCTATGCAAAATAAAATCAATAAAATATTACCTGTAAGCCAGCCAATTTAATAAGTCCTATAGGGGAATTGCATAAGGGCAATATTCTTTCATGTGGAAGCCAACACTAAAGAGGTAATCATAAATAAATAAATAGCTGGATTGTTAAGCCAAATTTTCAAAAATTATGTGCTTCAAAAATTACAGTCAACTAAATTCCCACTTCAGCCAACTGCTAATGGTAGTGAATAAATGGTAGCAGAGAACTGCTCAAGTGCTAAGTTACACTTCCCGTTCTCATGCTAAGTCACAGATAAAGCATAAGCAAGCTTTTCAAAAAAATAATGAATAATTTCATATTGGCACAATAATGTGAATTCTCTCACATTGGTTCCAGCAGTCTAGAAAGCGATGTCTGCAAACCACATCAATAATCCTCCAGTTCAATATACGGCTGGTACGTCGAGTTTTTGTTTATAATTATTTTGTTTGTCAATATCCTGCTTTCATCTTCCGTTCGTAAAATCCGTGAGTGACTGGAACAAGGCACTGTGCAGCCAGAACAAGACTTGACAGTTCGTGCGGCTCCGTGGCATGTATTATCTAAATTAGCATAAACACTCTAACCAATCCTAACGAGAGGGTTGTGAGGAATTGACCAATCAGAAAACGACTATAATATTATCGGGAGGAGTGTGCTATTATTATTATCCTTATTTTTTAATTTTTAAAAAATTTTTTAATTCTCCCTATGCAGGGACACACCCTGGAAATAATAATAATAATAATAATAATAATAATACTACAAAGATAAAATAATGAACCTCCTAATTCTTCCACTGATATTTGGCCGATCTGAGCTGCGAATACAGAAATTTATATCGAATAAGAATTACAATTCCCATGAGGTCCTCAAATCAAGAAATTACTTAGGGGTTCTGGGTAGTGAAGTTTAAGATAATTACGCTTCCTTAGTTTCCGAGAGGCAAGAAACTACTTTCCCAGAATGCATAGCGTTTCCGTTAACATTTTGTTCCTGTCCTCAATTTTTCGTCAGCTCTGCTCCGTAGAAGCGGCGTGGGCTTTTCTCGTGGTGGCTTTCGGAGTCCCTTAGTTGTGTTGAATATCCCACTGAGTTTGGTCAAAATGACGGTATGCAATTTTGAATTTATCTTTGTTATTCAGTAAATATGTTAGCTACATTTTGTGTCTTTGCTCTATTTTTGGCTACAAGTGCATTTAGATAGCTGTCGAGCTAACTAGCTAGCTAGCTGGTTCTTCAGTGAGCGATTGCTGTGATATCGTCTTGTTTGGGAACTGTCACTGCCATTGCTAGCTAGGAAATCTCTTTTGTACGTGTATTTCAGGAGCGGAAGGGGACTGCGAAATTGGACTACCTCAGAAAAATTGAGTTGGACGTCCAGAAGAAATGGGAGATGGGAAAAGTTTTTGAAACTGATGCACCCAGTACCATTGGTGGCAGTATAAAGTGAGTTTTGTTGCTAGCGAAGAATGCTAGCGGGCTTGATGCTTCTTAGCATGCCATCTGACGGGTATAGCTGCTATGAAGTGAGATAGTGGGGTATATGTTTAGCCCAAACCCGGGGTTTTCAGTGTCTTGGAGGAGTCATTCCATGTGAAATGTCCGAATGGCTCCCACTTGACCATCTCCGATTTGGCTGAAAAAAATTGCAGCAGGTGCATACACCTAATAGGATAAATCCAAAATTTTAGCTCTCAACTCCTAATAGTTTTGTCATTAAAAATATTTTTGCAGCTAAGTTTCAGCCCTTTTTGAACCGCGATTTCTGAGGAGCCACTTTCACATGGCTATATCTAGAAAAGTATTTCAGCTAAGTCCTTCAAATTTTCAGGGGTGAATATGTTCTACTATAACTTGAGGAATATGGACTTGTAAAGCTGTCCCTTTATTTTATCATGCATTTCTGGGTGCTTACAGTTGCTCGAAAATTTTACTCTGCGCTCTGCGGTAGCATATTTGAAGGACTGTAAAAGCCTAATTTCAAAGACGGGCATTTAGTATTGCACATACAGCTTCCCATGTATGTATTGTATTTTGTATTCTAACTCTGCCCCTCTCTCAAGAATAATCTAGAAAATATTAAGGCTTGAAAATGGAGGGGAAAAAATTTTGTGCCTTTTTTATATTTTATACCAAAAAAATGACGCCATTCAACAACATCAAATTGACTGTTTTTGAAAGATTAGATGCCTGTTATTAACATATCCAAAATTTGTGGTGGTGTTCTGCTTTATTTTCTCAAAATAAATTTTTGAAAAAATGTTTTTTTTTTTTGTGGACACACTACATTCAATGGAATCAAAGGCATATTCAAACATTATTTTATAAAATGCACACAGTTAATGATAGAAAGCTCGAACTCAACAAAATGCTTTATTTCATAAATGTTGACTTACACTTGAAGAATTCTCTGAAATTCGGACATTTCACATGGAATGTTGTGGGTCTCTTTTTTTCTGCCATGGTGACTTACGGTATCTTTTATTGCGGGTTTAGGGTTCGTTGAGCCGGCTTACGCAAAGAAAGCCTGGATAACGTTGAAAACTCTTTGTTTTTAAGCGTTTGCCTGCTAGCAATTTGCTGAAGTAAATTTCTGCTGGAGCCCCTATCGTTAGAATTCGTGTGTACTTCTAGCTTGTGTCTGTTGATGTCGTATCACCTTGAACTTGCACCGGATGTTTATTGCATTTGAGTATGATTGCATGTTGTTTTGATTTGCCAAGTGATATGTTGCTATAAAGGAACCTGCTTTTTGTCTCTTTACGTTAGCATAATTAAGTTGGCATCGCTCAAATGTTTTGTGCCCAAGTGTTTCACATTCATAATTTCTTAATATAACATATATATTATATATATTAATAAACACACATTCCCTTTTAGCAAGAACAAGTACTTTGTTACCTTCCCTTACCCTTACATGAATGGAAGACTTCATCTTGGGCACACCTTCTGTCTATCAAAATGTGAGGTAGGTGTCACTTCACTAGCAATTTGAATTGTCATAGCTGACCTGCAATAAGTGGACTCATAGTCTAATTCCACTGTTTGTTTGCAGTTTGCTGTTGGATATCAGCGTTTGAAGGGAAAGCAATGCCTGTTCCCTTTTGGACTCCACTGTACAGGAATGCCAATCAAAGTAAGACCTTGTTCTCTTCCATCAACTGGTGGGATAGTAAATATTATTTTGTATCCCCCCCCCATGGGCTAGACCCTGCGTGTGTACGCTAGTTTATCTTTTGCAGTCGGATACTAACTTTGACTAGCGTAGGCGCTGGGCATTCCATGGACTCCTTTAAGAGGATTTTCTAGATCTTATCTCAAGCCTTCAAAATGCCTCGGATCCTCCCGGAATCCAGCAAAAAAAAAAAACCCTCGTTAAGACTGTCTCTCACCACACGTCTCCTTATATTGTCCAAGCTTCGCCAGTAAACCCATAAAGCACACGGTTGTCCACTTTGAGTTGACCAGAAATTGAACTGCAAAACAAAGTGGAGTTTGGTAACGACATCGAACAACCAACGGAAGTTTCGCTCTCCTCCCGGATGGCATGATCAATTTCGACGTGGTGCCTCCTTGTATTAAGCCGAGCAGAGTCTCTCTCTGACACAGCTTCCATCGGTTGTCCGATGACGTTTCCAATCTCCATTTTTTTTTTGCAGTTCAATTTCTGGTGAACTTGAAGTGGTCAATGATGTACTTTATGGATTTACCGGCAAAGTTTGGACAGTATGAGGAGACATGTTGTGAGAGACAGTCCAAGCGAGGGTTTCTGCTGGATTTCCGGAGAATCTGTGGCATTTTTATGGTATGAGAAGAGATCTTGAAAACCCTCTTAAAGGAGGCTGGGATGCCCCCTTTCATTCTTGCATTGATATCAACCTTCCACGCAGGCCTGTGCTGATAAGCTGAAGAGAGAGATGGAGCTGTATGGCTGTCCTCCT